ATGGAGAAATTATACGGTTGTAGGGCTAGGCTCCACCTCAGTAGTCGTCCATTGTCCCCAGCCACTCGGTTCAGCCATACTAGAGGGTTATGGTCTGTGATCAGGGTAAATTCCTGACCATAAAGGTAGGGGGTGAGCTTCTTTAGGGCCCAGACCAGGGCTAGACATTCTTTTTCCACTGCCGCATAACTCACTTCCCTGGGCAATAGCTTTCTACTCAGGTATGCGACAGGGTGTTCTCCCCCATCTTCTCCGACCTGGCTTAGCACTGCCCCCAGTCCGTACATGGACGCATCTGTGTGGACGACAAATCTTTTATTAGGGACGGGGGCAGACAAAACAGGTGCGTTGATCAGAGCTTGTTTCAGGGTTTGGAATGCTGCTTCACAGGCGGGAGACCACAGGACTACTCTAGGTCAGGGCCAGATTAAGAGCCCAGTGGGCCTGGTGCTGACAATTATGACGGGCCTAATTACAGAATCATATCGACCAAAAACAGTAAAACACTCCCAAGAGTCATGTATCTGATGGAGATAGTGCTGGAGAGAAAGAAAACAGCAGATAAAAGAAAACATATACCCTAGGCTAATCTCTCACTAATTTATGTTTTCATCTTTCAAGTAAATCCATAACCCTTAACAGCAGTGTCCAGTCAAGCAGGAAGTCAATGGGCACTGTAAAAGTGTGTGCCACTGACACAAATCACGGAACCTGCCAAAAGGGGAGAACATGCCCCAAAAGAGGATATGTCTGCCCAAAGAATTAGAAGGCCAGCCTGGTATGAATGCATGTCAGGCTGCCTGCCAATCATGCAGCTGGCCAACTAAGGGCATACTATGCAGACAGCACCCTGAGCTTGGCATAAATGCATCTAATGATGCGCTCGCTCAACGCTTTCTAAGGACTGTCCCCTAGCACTCGCTGGTCCACTTTTCCCCTTACCTTCTTACTAGCAGGCAGAAGCTCCTGGTATATAGTTTGGGACAGAGAAAAGCTGTATGTAGTGAGTGTAGAAGAAAGGGAACATGCCACAGGGTTAGAGAGAACAAAGTCAGCATTACCTTAAAGGACCACTCTAGGCACCTAGACCACTTCAGCTTAATGAAGTGGTCTGGGTGCCAGGTCCCTCTAGGATTAACCCTTTTTTTTATAAACATAGCAGTTTCAGAGAAACTGCTATGTTTATTAATGGTTTAATCCAGCATCTAAAGCCTCTAGTGGCTGTCTCATTGACAGTCGCTAGAGGCGTTTGCGTGCTTCTCACTGTGAAAATCACAGTGAGAAGACGTCAGCGTCCATAGGAAAACATTATAAATGCTTTCCTATGAGACAGGCTGAATGTGCGCGCAGCTCCTGCCGAAGAAGAGGATGGGAGGCGGAGAGGAGGAGGAGAGCTCCCCGCCCGGCGCTGGAAAAAAGGTAAGTTTAACCCCTTTCCTCTCCCCAGAGCCCGGCGGGAGGGGGTCCCTGGGGGTGGGGGCACCCTCAGGGCACTAAAGTGCCAGGAAAGCAAGTATGTCAGGAACACAAACATGAATTCATGTCCCTATAGTGTTAACACCACCATCTAGCCCCCCCTGGGCCCCTCATGCCTCCATAAATATAGCAAAATTTTACTGTATTCAAGCCTGAAGCTGTAACTCTGCATGCTGTTAGACTCAGAAAAACAAGCAGTCTGCTGACATCATTAGAGGTGCTGGCCTAATCCAATCACAGTGCTTCCCCATAGGATTGGCTGAGACTGACAAGGAGGTAGATCGGGGCAGAGCCAGCATGATTCAAACACAGCCCTGGCCAATCAGCATCTCCTCATAGAGATAAATTGAATCAATGAATCTCTATGAGGAAAGTTCAGTGTCTGCATGCAGAGGGAGGAGACACTGAATGTTTGGATGCAGCCTTGACCCAGGAAGGATCTCTAACAGCCATCTAAGGAGTGGCCAGTGAAGTTATCACTAGGCTGTAATGTAAAGACTGCATTTTCTCAGAAAAGACAGTGTTTACAGCAAAAAGCCTGACGGTAATGATTCTACTCACCAGAACAAATTCAATAAGCTGTAGTTGTTCTGGTGACTCTAGTGTCCATTTAACTATATTCATTGCCAGCCAGTCCACACAAGTTTTGTTCCCATACATCCCTCTTAAGTTTCCATACTTAAGTAAGAGTATGTGAAAAGTAGTTAGGGTTGCCACCTTTTTTGGAAAAACATACTGGCCTTGCTAATTTGCATAATTAAATATGTATGGGTGACATCACATGATGTAAATCACAAGGAGTGACATAAGAGAAAATATAGATGCATTCCTCTCAGTGGCCCCATGTCTCCCAGTGCCTCCATTTGTCGATTACTCCAGGTCTCAGTGTTCCTATGCATCAGTGTCTCAGTGCCCCATGTCTCCCAGTGTACCCTAGTGTCGTGTCCCCAGGTCTCCCAGTGATCCTATGTATCACAGTGTCTCAATGCCCCATGTCTCCCTGTGTCCCCATGTATCCCAGGGTCCCCATGTCACTAGGAATACGGGATGACCTGGGGACACGGGGAGACCTAGGGACACGGAGACACCAGTGACACTGGGAGACTAGGGGACTCTGGCTGGGACGCATGGGGACACTGGGAAAATAGGGGACACTTGAAGACATGGGGACACAGACACCAGGGACACAGACACTAGAGACACTGGCTGGGGGACATGGGGACATTGAGACATGGGGGCACTGGGAGACATGGGGACAAGGAGACACCAGGGCCACAGACACTAGGGACACTAGCTTGGAGACATGGGGACATTGAGACACTTGAGGCACTAGGAGACATGGGGACAGTGAGGCACTGGCAGACTGGGGGCACTGAGAGACATGTGGACACTGTGTGTCATAATGTCTCCCAATGTCCCTTAATGTCTCAGTGTCCCCATGTCTCCTTGCAGCCTTTCCCCCATACCTTACTTCCCTGGGCTGTCTCTGCAGGGTGGGAGTTGCTGTCTGGACTCTCTGTAGCTACACCCCTGCAGATCAGTGAGTATAGATAGGCAGGGAGGGATATGCTGTAACTTCCTATCCCTGCCTTTCTCCACACACACAGCGACCCCTACTGGCCAGTGCTGGTATTGCATAGTAATCTCTTTTTACTGAGAAAAATACCAGCATTTGTATTGCCAGTATCACTGTAATATTGGCACCAGCCAGGAAGCCAAATACTGGCTGTGTCAATAAAATAAAAGCCAGGCGGAATCCCTAAGAGTAGTGTGTGGGAAAAAAAAAATGTTAAAAAAAAATAAAAAAAAATATTTTATTATTTTTTTAAATAAAATCAATGGGCCTATTCCATGGGCCTGGGCCTGGAGCTGCAGCTCCATCAGCCCCTATGTTAATCCGGCCCTGCCCAGACCACTTGGTCCACTTAATCCTGCAAATGAAATCTAGCAGTTTCAGAGAAACTGCAATGTTTACGTTACAGGGTTAAGACAATCCATAGTGGTTGTTCCCTAGACAGTCACTAGAGGTGTTCCCTGCATTCTAACAGAGTTTATCTCCATGAACGATGTTGGACGTCCTTACGCTTTGCAAGAAGATGTCCAGTGTCTTAATTGATTCAATGTTTTTCTGTGGGGAAGCCCTAAGCGCGTGCGGCACTTGCCACGCATGTGCAATAGGTTCCCCCATCACCGTGACGTCACCGATGGAGGAGACCGATCCATCGCCAAGGGACCTTGTTGCTGGAAAGAGGTACGTGTAAAATGGCTTGTAGGAAAGGGACACTATAGCATCAGTGTTCCTTTAAGGAGAATCTTATTAAAGGCACACTATAGTCACCTAAACAACTTTAGCTTAATGAAGCAGTTTTAGTGTATACATCATGCCTCTTAGGTTTCACTGCTCAATTCACTGTCATTTAGGAGTTAAATCACTTTGTTTCTGTTTATGCAGCCCTAGCCACACCTCCCCTGGCTATGACTGACAGAGCCTGCATGGAAAAAAACTGGTTTCACTTTCAAACAGATGTAATTTACCTTAAAGGACCGCTCTAGGCACCCAGAGAGAGCACTAAGGGACAGAGGGGTAGGGGAGTATGTGTGTGTCAGTGTGTGTATCTGTGAGTGTCTGTATATCTGTGAGTATGTGTGTGTCAGTGTGTGTATCTGTGAGTGTCAGTGTGTATAATTGCCGTGTTGTCAAAAAAAGTTGGTTTGTATTGCAGGTTGGGCACTCAGGCTAAACAATGTTCGCCATCACTGTTCTAGGACATCACAAGAGCCACGGGATAATTACTAAGGATCTACAAGCATCTGATACCTTGTCTAGTGGTCGTGCAAATAATCGAAGAGTGGTATGCATGTAAAGATGCCAAGTATTGCTGAAAGTACTGCTGCTCAAACATAAAATTGTTGCACGTCTCATGTCTATTAAAGACCTCTTAGATGATCAAGACAACTATTAGCACATTTTCACAAAGCTGAGAATGACTGAACGTGAGTAAAGTAAAAAGTAAAGTAAAGTCGAGGAATAGGATATTCACATGTACAGTAATTTCAAATTCAAGTTAACAGAAAAATGTAAAAAGTTAAATTTGTGTCTGAATTTCCCACTTTCATCTTATTTGCCAATGGGCCATTCTTCCAATAGCTGTCTTTATCATCCAGATCATTTCTGATAAATTTGAGAAGGACTACAATTTTATTTTAGGAAACAATCGTTATTTCCTTGTTCTCCTTCAGATACTTTGGATTAATAAGAAGAAAGTGGACCAAATGTAAAATGTGTGGGAGGATTCTCTCTGTTCCCTGAAATAACAATGTATTGATCGTGTGTGCAAATAATGTTACATACACTGACATATTCAGTAATTCTGGGAGGGCAACTATCAGCGGAACGATTTGAAACATTTCCTGAATTATGTTATGAGCATTAATGGAAATGTCTTGACTGAAAAATACAGTTTTTAGCCTTATAAAAAGGCCTGTGTAACATTTTGAAAGTTATGTATGATTTGATTTGACGAAGGCTGATCAAGATTTTGTGGAAATAAAAAGAAGCCAGATTTTCTGGGGATTTAGTCTGCTCAAACAGGATTCCTGATGCCACCTTTTGGGTTTGCATTGGTCTGTCAGTTCTTTTACACCCTAAAAGACAGGTCTACGTATTGTCTTCTGGAGCTGATATTGGGTAATGGCATCAGAGGATGGAGTCAGACCTCTGAGCTTGTTGTTTCCCAAATACATGCATCTAACGCGTTGAACTGGGCATGATGTCTCGGTAGGTTAGGGGTTGAGCACATGCAGTTAAGTGTGCAGAGCCAGAATGTCTAGCATTGCACCAGAGATGGAATGGCAGTGCTAACTAATGATTATTATTATTTTATTTATATAGCACCATCAGATTCCATAGCGCTGTACAATGGCTGTGCCAGAAGATACACAGTATTATGAATGTGGTAATGTATACATTCACAGTGTAATGGTCAGCCATATAGCATTACTACAGTTGTGCTCAATAAAAAGTATGATTTGAATCCAGAACAAAAGGAGAACTAATGCGATGGATATTTAATTTATGTGATGGGAGTTTCCAAGTCCCTGTTGGACACATGCCTGTAATTGTTTTGTCACATCCATTTTCAAGCATTAAACCCCTAAGGTATTTATAGAAGGAATTAAGAAGTGTACAGCAGCTTGTCATTGCTCATTTAACTAGAATAGCAGGCTAGCTATTGGGGTTCCAAACATGTCAAACCTCTAATCTAAACGGTTACACTTTGATTAAATTTCATCTCAACTAACTACAACACTTCCAGTATTCACAAAACAAAGAATTATGCAGAATTGCCAAGAAATTATAATCCAAAACAGATGATCTGGAAACTCTAGTTTTCTGGCTAGGCTATTTTGTCCTAAAATTGCACTGGTCATTCTCTACAATTATTTGGTTAGTGAAAAAACCCCCAGTAGATTTTACAGGAAGAAAGGTTTTTTTCTACTTTGGCCCTTCTGAAGTCAGGTTTTTCTAACAAACTGCCAATGGAGAACTGTATTTAGAGGGACACTATAGTCACACAACAACTATAGCTTAATGAAGCAGTTTTAGTGTATTGATCACACACCTGCAGTTTCACTGTTAAATTCTCTGGCAGTTAGGAGTTAAATCCCTTTGTTTATACAGCCCTAGTAACACCTCCCTGCATGTGACTTACACAGCTTTCCTAAACACTTCCTGTAAAGAGTCATCTAATGTTTACACTTTATTGCAAATAAATAAAAATCATAATAAATTGATTCCAAATCTATCCATGCTTCCTTTAACCTGTATATACTAGCATGCCACCCAACATTGGTAGCAGGTAGGAGAATGAAAAAATCTGAGCTGCCCCACTGAATGTGTGTTATAAGGAGGAGGGGTGACCTGTCCTATAGTATGTGTTATGGGGAAGGATTTGTGCTGTGTTTAGATTTGAACATATTCAATGTGAGTGTTCTGCTGCTCTGGTTTATATCAGAACACTCCTGTAAGTTTATATATACATGTGCACCGGGTGAAAACTGTTTATAAATTCCAAGCCTGGCTTTTTAACCCTTTGAGTGCCTTAGTTATGCTCATGTTTGCTCAACTCTGATATGCAAATGGTTAATGGCAAACCAGACCAAATACTCTCTGGTTTGAAACAACCTTTATTCCTCTTTGCTTCTAAAATAGGGGCCATAGTAATGCTGGCTTTTCATCTAACCCCAATGAAGTGAGAGTTTGTTAACAAGTGCAATCATGCAAAGCCTTGCTACAATGTTACAAGGCCAATTACTATTACAAGTTGCTGGCCGTTTTATGAATTAAGCAACGGACCCACTTTTTTTGGTGATAATATTCACTTTGACCAAGTATGGAATTAAATGTGGGTTTTCCTTAACACAATCCATTTCAACGGACAGTAAATTGATTACATCCTAAAATCTAACACCACAAATTCCTTAGTAAATAGTTTGTTAATTAGAAGGTATTGCTCTCTGTGTTGAAATGGACACAAGGTTTGTGTCTTTGTTGCGCCTTGTTGCTATAAAGCTTTGGAAGATGATCTCCCTAAAAAAGCCCCATTTGCACAGCAGCTCCTGGCTATGACCTACTTCCAGGCTGTTATTCATTGAAAGAATGACAAGGTCACCGATTCTACAGTGAATGAGAACTGGCTTGTGGGTCTCTTTGAAATTTTTATACGTATAATATAATCCCCAACAAAGCTCACCCAGAGCTGATGATCAGTATTGGTTGAGAGATCTCTGCAATTTACTGAACATGGGTGGAGCTGATAATACAAGTGGTTTTGCAAACTTTTCATCTGATCTACATTGTACGTTTGCCAAAAAGAAATAGGGTTAGGTGCATTTAAACAAATGGATGTATATAATGTTTGCCTTTTGCAATTCTTTCAATATACATCTTTGTCCACGAATTGTAAAGTGCTGCGGAATTTATTGGTACTCTATAAATAATAATAATAATAATAATAATATACAGCATATGGCTGTGTGTGATGCAGATCTAAAGGTTGTGTGTGCTACTGCAACATATATGTTGAATTATTCGTAATGTAAGCAGACCTCTGTTCAATAATATAGGTCGGGGGTAGGCAAACCTTTCGGCAGCACTGTGCCGAAATAAGATTGTGATGGCCCGTAGCGTGCCAGACCTATTTTTTTTAAATTGAGGTGTGTATGTTGCTGTATTCTGCTTGTGTTATTTAAACTGCAGTTGCTTTGTATCGTTGTATTTGTGCGTGTATGAGCTATTATATTGTATATGTTCAGGAGTAGTTTGTCGTATCGTGTATGATACTTATGTATGGGGGCTGCTTGTGGAATTGTGTGTGTAGATGGATATGTCACATTGTGTGTTTGGTAGTGTGTGTATGTGTGGTGCTGTTTTGGGTATTGCATGTGAGAGGCTGCATGTGGGGTTGTGTGCATTGTTATTATTATTATGATATTTATAGAGCGCCGTCAAATTCCGCAGTGCTTTACAATGGGTGGACGAACAGACATGTAGTTGTAACCAGACAATTTGGACACACAGGAACAGAGGGATTGAGGGCCCTGCTCGGTGAGCTTACATGCTAGAGGGAGTGGGGTAAAATGACACAAAAAGGTAAGGATAGTATTAGACTAGTGACATTTGCAGAAGAGGAATCAGTCAGGAGCTATTAACAGTTTAATGGATACGCTTTTATGAAGAAGTGGGTTTTTAACGATTTTTTTGTAAGAGTGGAGACTGGGTGAGCATCTAACGGAGGAGGGAAGCGAGCTCCACAGGAACGGTGCAGCCCTCGCGAAATCTTGAAGGCGAGCATCAGAGGTGGGAGTACGGACAGAAGATAGACGTAAGTCTTCAGCAGATCGTAAGGGCCTAGACGGGACATACTTGTATATAAGGGAGGATATATAGGTGGGAGCAGCATTATGTAGAAATTTGAAAGCAAGAACCAGAATTTTAAATTGAGCTCTATATTTTATAGGAAGCCAATGTAGGGACTGACAGAAGGGTGAGGCATGGGAGGTGCGGGCGGACAGGAAGATGAGCCTCGCCGCCGCATTCATTATGGACTGTAACGGTGCTAGTTGGGAGCACGTAAGACCACTGAGAAGTGGATTACAGTAGTCAAGGCGAGAAAGGACAGTGGAATGGACCAACACCTTAGTCGCATCTGGCATTAAGTAGGGTCAGATGCGCGCAATGTTTTTGAGATGGAAATGACAGGATTTGGCGATAGATTGAACGTGAAGGAGAGGTCGGAGTCAAAGAGAACACCTAGGCAGCGAGCCTGCGTGGTGGTGCTGATGGTAGCACCGTTGACTTGGAGGGAGACAGACACAGGAGTAACAACACTTGAGGGAGGACCAGAATTTCAGTTTTGGTCAAGTTGAGTTTAAGGAAGTGGGCAGCCATCCAGTTAGAAATAGCAGAGAGGCAGTCAGAGACACTAGTCAAGAGGGACGGGGAGAGATCGGGAGAGGGCAGGTAGATTTACGTGTCATCTGCATAGAAATGATATTGGAAGCCAAAGGAGCTAATGAGTTTACCAAGGGAGGCAGTATAGATGGAGAACAGTACGGGACCAAGGACTGAACCTTGGGGGACACCAACAGAGAGGAGTTGGGGAGAAGAAGCAGAGCCAGAGAAATAAACACTGAAAGAGCGCTGGGAGAGGTAGGAGGAGCACCAGGAGAGAGCAGTATCTTGCTTGTATGTGGATTGTTTGTGGGGTTGTGTGTATGTTTGTGTGTGGGCTGTTTGTATTATTTGTATGAGTAAAGGATTATTCTGCAGCTCTTTGTATATCTATCAGTGTGGGTGGCTTCCCTGGGTTCCAGTGGGGACCAGGCTGGCCAGGTACAGGTCAAGGGCAGGAGCTGCAATAGCCGCTGTGGGCTGCTCTACTCCAGTGTGGATGGAATCCCATTCACAAGTGTGGGAGGAAGTGACCTGAGATCACTTCCTCTACGTGCTGCAATATGTAAATTGAGGATTGTCCATTACCACCTCTTCGTATTGGCAGATATCTGAAGTTTCACTGGGACTCCTGATAGGCCAGAGCCTGTTTGGCTCTTGTAGCCTGGAGTGCCGTGCAAGACGCACGTGCCATAGGTTGCCTACCCCTGATATAGGTCTTGAAACATTGTTGATTCAGCCTGTTTCATATTATTTGTATCTCTAATCAAAACAGTCGTATACCAGACATAGGACACCCATTGATTTTGATGATCTCTGTTATTTATTGAAACAAACAAACTGGTGTTTCTGTTCCAACAACAGATAACTCAATTGTTTATGTTTAGTTTAAAAACATAAAGACTAAAGGAGTCTATTAAGTAGGCACCATCACACTGAAAAACCTCACAGTTCCCAACTTTCAGCTTCCCTTAACCCTATAATGTTATCCCAAAGCTACATCTATCTCTCTATCTCGCACCCCACTCTTACCTTAGCAGCAGCTTTTTTTCTTGGAGCACGGAAATTCGGTTGAGCAATTTTAAAACAAATCTCACAGCATTGAGATCCATTTGAAAACAGCAGGGGTCTGTTTGGACCACTTTTGTTGCCATTTGGTTAGTAATGAATACAGTGAATTACAGAGGAATCTCAAAAACAGAATAGAGGATAATTGAGTTAAATATCATCCAAATTTACAAAAGCAAATTTGGTGTTTAGTGGACACAATCCCTAAGAGTGCAGTTTTTTTTGAATGTTTTATTTTTTTTAAATGGATCTACTCGTAGTCTTTTATGTTTTTGAATCCAAACTACTTCTGTGTATTTTTTAGATAGCTACATAGAAATATATACATTTGGTCAATTGATTTGTAACACAAGTAATAAACATGTCCGTTCGCCTTCACATTATTAGTCCTAGGTACTTATTATCATGTGTGTTATAGATATGTGTTTCTTTCAATGCTGTGAATGCATATGGCATGTTAATCATTGTTCTTCCAAGAACTGCTTTGTAATAAAGTCAAATTGTTTGAGGCCATTGAAAGGCTTTACAAATACTGTAATCAGTTGGGTGCTGCAGGCCTCTGGTGACCAGGACACTTCCCAAGGTCATTAGCCATGTGTAGTGCTTACTTCCCCTGTCATTGAGATATCCCAGGGGGCTGTGTATAGTGGCAGAGCGTATGCAGGGAGGGTGTGTGACTGCGTGTGTTCTCAAGATTAGGAGGGGAGGATTTGAAAGCATTCAATAGTTCCATCTGTGGCTTACATATTATTACTGGAAGAGCTGGGTACGGTGGCGTGGGAAGCAGTTAGAACTCTTTTCGTTGCTTTTTCCCTAGAATTTCAGTTGCATGTTTAGCACCATGTGCTATCTGCGACCACCGACATCTATTTACATCATTTTAGCTCAATTGAAGGTGCAGGACTAGATGTGTATTCAAACATGCGTTCAGTGCAGGAATACAGGGGTTTTGCAGGGAAGGCTGCATTGCAGAGATATTTACATAGCAAGGTCTACAGAGCAGCAACAGGTGGCACTTCATTATAGGATCCATCTGTAAAGGATAAATTCTGTGGCAAACGGACAGCAGAGTTTGCTTTCACTTGGTAAGTGATCCTTGCTTGCTGCGCCATAATCCTTTCAGTGAATCATTAAGTGTCCTTGGCAAACAGGTTAATCGGCCAAACAGCATTGACCCCCATGTCCTTAACCACCAGAGGCCTACTAGGAAACTGTTATTTGGCTGGGGATTGGGAACTCAAGAGTTACGAGATCACAGCCTTTTGAAGTTTAAACCATAATTTTAAGCTTTTAGGAACTAACGACTTGGATTCTCCTACTTTACTTGCCAGAGTAGACTTTGCAGTTAAAAAACAAATGTTCAAATCTCCTAAACCATTTTGCTTAAAGGATTATTATTATATTATTATTCTTAAACATTATGCAGACAGAAATTAGTAAAATAAATTACAGACCAAAAATAAGCAGTTTGTCAGAGATAGCAGAAAATGAGATACCGTGTTTATTAAATTCCACCACCCTGTATTGTTTTTTTACTTTTGCAAGTAAAAGGAAGATTTCCCTTTGCAACGGTCAAAATTTCCACTGTAAATAAACGGACCCCACTTTTACTTACGGCTGCTGTGAGTGCATCCTTTGCGGGTTTGTGTACAATTCCTGCCTTGCTCGTGACCTGAGGAAATGCTGTGCGGCGCAAGAGGCCCAAGGTACGAGTAAATAACGGCATGGTTATAGTCTGTGTGTCAGGTCCCACTCTGTATGTGTCTGTGAGGTATAAAGTCCAATCTGCACCCTGGATAGAAAGGGAGGTGTTTACTACGTTATCTAGAGTCCCGTCATTGGTGGGTAGATTTCCAGCACAGAAAAGGTTAAAGAGATACGCTCTGTTTTGCACGTACATTGATCTATATTTATAGACCGGGGCGGGCGTAAAGGAACGGGGCTGGTCCCAATCAGCCTTTTAAATGCCTCACCTTTGTAGAGCAATGATGCATATGCAAGTAGGGAAGGTTTGCTGTCATCCAAGTCTTGATTTATACCATAGCTATTATGCAAATATCCTGTGTGCATTGCACTGCCAATATTTGTGGCAACGGCGGGGTTAAACGTAGTCTTTATAATTCCTTAGAGTGGGTGTAAAAAAAAAAAATTCTTGTGTACTTAGCATGGCAGCTGCTTTACTTTATCATCCTGTCACTTTGCTCTTCACAGATTGCTCCCATGTTCTGTCTCGTACTAAGACTATTTCCTGCTCTGTTTGCCGTAACATTTAGCTTCTTGTTTTTCTTTTTACTTGTTAATGCTGTGTCATCCAACCAAGTGATTAGCTTGTTTCTTATTCCGATTGCATGCTCCTCATTCCATCTGTGTCTAGGCTTGGTCTTCCCTTTCTCTCTCCGTTTAATCATTCCACTAGTCTGCCAGAGCTGTTTATCAGTCAGCTCTGCTCATGTGTGATTATACCAAACACAAATCACTGGCAATAAATACAATTTATAAGTATGTTCATGACTGCGTGTGATCCGTAATGTGTTGCTGTTTCCTCTGGCACATCTTTAAACTAATTGTTCAATGTAAACACAGAACTGTCCGGATGAAGAATGAAACACAATGCAATGACCTCAAGTACTCGTGTTTGCCACCTCCCATTCATTTCTGTGATTTGTTCCCAGATTTTAATAAATTCCAGGGGTTTTCAGGTTTCTATGGGTTGATGCCGCCCTTTTTCTTTTAAGTGTAACTATTATATTGTATGCTCATTCCAACCGTAAGGGCAATTTTCATATTTACAAACGTCAATTATAGTTGGAAGCAGAATGCACATTCGGAAATTATCATTCAGTTGCTTTTCGGGAATATTCCCAGGCAAGTTTTAGGAGAAGTGAGACTTGCCTGTCTGAGTGCTCTGATTGGTTGGCTTTATTTTTACTAGATGGCCACTAGAGGTGCTTCCGCTCTGCATAGAGACACTGAACATTCCCCATAGAGATGCATTGATTCATCTGTTGGTGTTTGGCTCTGCCCCAGACCCACCTCCATGGCTAAGATGATCAGAATTCTTATGATGTCAGCCAATGAGGTGGATCTGGGGGGAACAAGCACCATTGGACCCGCATGGCACAGGAAATAAGGTAAGATTTTAGTATATTTAAGTGGAGCCAGGGGACCTAAATAGTAATTTTAACACTATAGTAGACATGTGCATTAATTTTCGTACGAATATGATTTAGTCCGAAAATTTGTGTTTTTTCATATTCGTTTACTAAAACGAAACGAAAGGGCAAATGCCAAATGCATTACCTTTTTCGTTTCATTCGTTTAATAGACTTCATGCTGCAGGGGAATCAATTAACTCTCACAGCACGTAAAAAATAACACTGCACATGAGCGAACCAGCTCCCTCCTTGTAATAAATAATTATTCCTACCCCCCAAAACCTATGACCCCCAAATTAATAAAAGGGAGGTTAAATCCTCCCGCATGAGCCCTTCACGCAGCATGCATCGAGTAGGGGCATGTTGCCTAAACAGCTGTCATTTAAAATTGCTGGCCAGTCACTAGTGGAATAAGGGGGGGACCTGGAACAGGTCCACCCCATGGTGGAGAACACATGAGCGGCAGATGGGGACCCTAAATAAATTAAAGGGGGGACCTAATTTCCCTCCTGGTCCCCACCCATGAATGGCGGTAGGGACCCTAATTAAATAAAGAATGAAGGGAACCTAATGTGCCCCCCAGGTCCCCACCCATGAGCGGTGGGTGGGTACCCTAAAATAATGGGGGAACCTAATGTCCCCCCCTGGTCGCCACCCATGAGCAGCGGGTGGGGACCCTAAAATAATGGGGGAACCTAATGTCCCCCCCAGGTCGCCACCCATGAGCGGCAGGTGGGGACCCTAATAAATTAAAGGGTGGACCTAATGTCCCCCCTGGTCCCACCCATGACTGTCGGGTGGGGACCACAAATAATAAAGTGACTAGGGGTCCCCAAGCCCCTAGTCACTCCCCCCCAATAAAAATACCCTACATACCCCCCTCACCCTAATATAGTGAGAGGGGGTGGGCAAAAAACTAACCCTGTAAAATAAAATTTCATACTTATCATTTGATGTCTTCTTTCTTCTTTTCTTTCTTCAGCTCCAAAAAAAGGGCAAATAAAAATCCATAATACACGCTGCAACTGTTAAAATAAAGAAAAAACCAGAGCACAAAAAATAAAAAAATGTCGAAAAAGAAATAAATCCGATGTTAAAAAAATAATCCATCTTCACCCAGTGAGGGCATGGCGGAGAAAGGCATATAAAGCCTTGCCCCGCCCTGCAAATAAGCTCAGAGCGCTCTGATTGGTTGGTTTAAGCCAACCACTCAGAGTGCTCTGACAGGTAAATGAAGAGACTGACAGGTAAGTCTCTACATTTACCTGTCACAGCACTCTGATTGGTTGGTTTGAAATCAACCAATCAGAGTGCTCTGTGTCATTTTACACAGCGTGGGAAAGTTCTTTGGAATTTTCCCATACTGTGTAATTTGACTCATAACACTGTGGTTGGTTGCTTTGAAAGCAACCAATCAGAGCGCTCTGAGCCTAATTGCAGGGCGTGGGAAGGCTTTATAAGCCTTCCCCACTCTGCAGAGCTCATTCTGTGCTGTGCCCTCCATGGGTAAAGATGGATTATTTTTTTACCGGTAAGAGTACGTGTAAAAAGTCGCTATTTTGGGTGGGCTTCTGTCAGCAGGGGCCCAATCGCACGCTGAGGCGCTTTAACAGCGCGAGCTGGCCCCTTGCTTTTCGGCAGCAGGCTGGGAGGAAGTGACGGCCGCAATTCACTTCCTCCCACAAAGAGAGGAGCGCGCGGGAAAGAAGAGTAGGCAGATTGGAGGGGGGCTGGCCGAGAGCGCTAGACCCCAACTCCCAACACCTTCAGCCACCAGCAGGAAAGTGGAAACTGGTTTTAAAGTGTATGTCTGTGTCAGTATGTCTGTCAGTGTGTGTGTGTCATCTGTGTGTGTCAGTATGTCTTTGTGTGTCAGTATATCTGTGTGTGTGTGTGTGTGTGTCAGCATGTCTGTGTGTCAGTATATCTGTGTCTGTGTCAGTATGTCTGTCAGTGTGTGTGTGTGTGTGTGTTAGTGTGTCTGTGTGTGTGTGTCATCTGTGTGTGTCAGTATGTCTGTCAGTGTGTCAGTATATCTGTGTGTGTGTGTGTGTGTGTCAGCATGTCTGTGTGTCAGTATATCTGTGTGTGTGTCAGTATGTTTGGATGTCAGCATGTCAGTGTGTGTGTCAGTATATCTGTGTGTGTGTGCGCATTTCAGTGTGTATATATCTGTGTGTGTGTGTGTGTGTGTGTATATGTGCATACATCTCAGCATTCACACACTTACACTACACACAACACCACATACAAACATATTCCATACAAAAACCTGTTTACATTCAAACACACAAAAACTGCTTAGTGTTAAATACAGACCTGCAAACATGGGTAAATGGTAGAGCCTCAGCTGTCAATGCATTTCTGGAGTTGCACGACAGATGGAAATCTACCTTTTAATCACCCGTGCAACAGGGAGACCCCCAAAAATTCTTGCACCTCTCTACTTTAGGTCCGCCACTGTGTTGAGGTGGAGGACATGATTGCATGCCTGGGGAGGGGGGACAGGGTCCAGGGGGCCCCAAGCAAATGCTTTGCCCAGGGTCCGGTCACTATTAAAGACGGCCCTGCATATACGCACAAATACAACAATACAAAGCAATTACAGTAAAAATAACACAAGCAGAATACGGCAGCATACACCCCTCGATTTAAAAAAAAAAAAAAAAGGACAGGCACGCTACGGGACATCACAATCCTATATCGGCTCAGTGCTGCTAAAAGGTTGCCTACGCCTGCCCTAGACTTACCCTACTTCCTTGTGCCATCTTCTCTGTAACCACACCTGTGCTTGGGGCTCAGTCCCTGTGTATATTTGGTTATCTGTGTGTAAAGAACAGGATTTCTGCTGTCGAAACTTTTGTTGTAAAACATTGCTTTTGCTTAAAGGAACATTCCCAGGGTTATTTACTGAAGTGAGAATTCGAGGTGAATTCAAAGGGAATTTCAAACTTTAGGCCATAATAGCCGAATTGAAAGCATTTCTGGCTTAGATCATTTTTCCAAATCGGCTATTTTGACTTTAAAATATAAAACACCCTTTGAATAACCCTGTCTAACATTACATTATATTTATTTTAAATGTTAAAGATTTCCTTTGAAAAGTTTAGAGTCCCCTTCTCTGTGAAAAATAAATAAAAAACCTTCTGTTAACCTGCATTCTAGAGCTGGGTAG